TACGACTCTATGTGCCGAGCTGATTTTCCGAAATAAAAATTTATTAAATTTACAGCTGCACCCAGAGGTTGCCTATGTACCCAAATTAGGATCAAGCTGTTCGTAATTAGCTACAATTATGGAATGAGTGTTTATCACTCAGGGGCCAAACTGGCCCTTATTGACGAAATAAGAGAAAATACTAAGTATTAAAGCTGCGAGATTCTTTGTTGAATCTATTCCGCTTGTTTGGCGTCTTCAAGGGATTTTTCCGTGGAGAGTCGCACCTTGCGCTCGCTAATGAAGCAGGATCTTGCCATCTGCTAATTGCCGCAGAGCGTGAAGATGCCGACCAAAGTAGCAAACTTCATGCATTGGTGGTAGGTCGAGATGATAGCTTTCATCTCGTGGATCCAAAGTGTGCCAAATATGACATTATAGATCGCTGGTTAATCCATGACCGTAAATTTGACAATATTTGTCACTCCGCCGACGTAGACTGTCAGAGGTATGGTGCCGAGGCTGAAGAAGGACTCGCTGACAAAACCAGGTAAAGGCTTCAGTGCCGCCTTTATGTCTTTATCGTGAAGTCTCATCTTGGTCAAAGTTTCTTTGAAGATGATCTTGACCGTGCTGCCGGTGTCCACCAATATTTTGGCGACCTCGCTATCGTGGATATGTAACTCGACAACCAGTAGGTCGTTATGAGGAGTGTGTAACCCGAGCATATACTTTGATGTGAATGTGATTGTCGGATGGTAGTCCACAGGGCGAGGGAACTTTCGCGAAGCAATCGCTTTTCGGCCATATTCTTTAATGGCACGGACTGAATCGTCGCAATCGGGGAGTCCTCCCATGATCATATTAACCCGTCGCTTGGGCGGAGGGGGTGGATTGTCGTGTTCGCCTTCATCGTTTTCGTGCTCCACTCCCTTATCTTTTTCTTTTTCTTCGCGCTTTTTCTCGGGCGAGTGACTTCGGCGTCTTCCTTCGGAACTACTTCGGCTGCTGCTTTTCCCTGGGTCTCAGCGATCCTTGCTGGAGGTGCTTCGGCGCGAGTCTTTAGGGTTGGAACAGCGGGAGTAGAAAATTTTGTTCTGGGATCGATTGCTACCAACGTCAATTTTGCCTTCCTTGTATTTTTCATACAACGAGTTCTGGAGGTGTCGACAGGCCGAGGTAGCGTGTCCTGTTTGCCCATTTTATCGTCCCTGTCATCTGAATTCCTTGGAGGATCACCACGGGTCCACTGATTCCAGGGCATCTCTCCGGTGGTCACGACGGCATGGGAGGATGGCTTGCTTTTGCTTGCGAGATCCTTATCTTTTGAGGTGCTTGCCACGTCCATGCCGTGCTTCTTGGCATAGAAAATGTTTTCCTCCTCCATTCATATGAAAGTTTGAGCTCGGTGGAGTGCGTCTTCTATAGTTTCCTTCGGGTTTTTCTGCAGATCTTCCTTGAAGGAGGATTCGAGCCATATGCCGTTCATGAGTGCCTCGATGACTAAAGCTTGTGGAATCTGCCTGTATGCCTCGGCTGCGCTTTTGAATTTCTCGATGAAATCACGGAGTGGCTGGTCGTGCTCCTGTACTAGAGTAAAAAGGTTGACCGTCCTCTTTGTAATGAACATATAGTAGTTTTTTATAAAAGCGTGGGATAAATCGTTGAAGGATTTGATCGATGCCGGCGGGAGGTTAGAGAACCACTTGAGAGCATCCTTATTGAGGTGCTCTACGAAGGTTTGACAATGGTTAGCTTCGTGCTCGAGGTCGGTTTCGAACCGGTTCCTCTTCATGGCAACGTTGAACGCGGTCAACCATAGGTTCGGGTCTTTCATCCCGTTGTAGTCTTCTTGGTCTTGGTGGGCTTAGGTTATTGCTAGAGAAAGCCTTTTAGGAAATGTGCTCATTTCTCCTCTAACAGATATCATTCCAAATTTTATGTTTCACCTAAGGTTGACATGGTAAGAGTGGAGATTGATGTTGTCGTCTATATGTCTGCTGGTGATGATGTCAACGACACGGATGTGAATCTTGCGGGGGCTCCGCAAGTGATGAGGCGGTGGAGAAACACTTTGAAACGGTGGTTGTTGAGAATGATGATGAAGGCAACTATATGATTTGTATGGATATCATCCGGGGCGGGTCGGGTGTGGCGGCGGCTCAAATGCCGTGTATGCATGTGTTTCATCCGTTTCAAAATAAGTGCCATTCTAAAGTTTTAAAATAGGAAAAATGATTGCTAGCTACACGAAGTATACGCCATCACATGGCTACACATACAGAGAATATTAATGTATTCAAAACTACACGAACTATATGGTTAACATAACGACATGTATGAACTAAATGATGTTATGTTGTTAACATTACAACCATCTTTTCCATTACCAGGAAAATGTATTCAAAACTACACAAACTACATGGCTACACATGCAAAGAATATTAATATATTCAAAACTACACAAACTATATATTAACATGACGAAATGTATGAACTAAATGATGTTATGTCATTAACATTACAACCATCTTATCCATTACCAGGAAAATGTATTCAAAACTACACAAACTATTTTAATTATAAAAAACTACACAGAACTATATTTATAATGATAATATATATATATTATAGTATATTTAATCCTTAAAATTTACATTATCAATAAATTAATGTTTTAGTTAAAATATTTGAAAAATTATAGTTATATATAATTATAAATTAAATTGATTATCAATGGTCAATAATTTGTATATTATATATTTATGTGCTTTTAAAATCTCTTGTTAATTTTTTGGCTATATTTTAGTATGTAAATTTTGTATATATTATAAAATTTATTATAGTTTAACTCTCTTATATTCAACACATCGTAAGTTTTACTTCCCTATACAGCATACAAATCGAAAATGAAATAATATAAAAAAGATATAAACATATTCTATACTACAATACGAATATTGTATGTAAAATAATATTTTTTTGTGGTTAGTCTATAAACATTTAAAAGAAAATCAAATTATAAAGTCTTACAATTATATATACCTTTCAAATTTGAAATTCCAATTTTTACAAATAAGAACTTACATATTTCACTCAAACAAATCTTATATAATATAATAAGGTCATGTATCACTTTTTGTTTCTTATCTCTACTAAATTCTTTGTAATCAAACAAGCACATTCCTTAATTTCTTTTCTTCTCAACATTATTTTCTTTCATTATGTCTGTCACTTTACATTATTGAGAAATACTTTTTTAACTTTTAAAAGCTGACTGTGATATTGTTTTTGCACGAAAAAAAAATAGATTTCTTTTTTATGGTTTATCGAATAGAAAGTCATGCATTGTTTGCTTTCATGAAATATTTTAGATTAATGACTCATTCTTTTCTCTCATACTTCATTGAACCTTAAATCGCCTCCACTATCACAATCTCAATTTTGCTCTCTAAAATATTTTTTCCAATCATTTTCGTGTACTTGTTCTGAATGGTGGTGCTTTAATTCCCTAATATAATCAAAACTCATTCTCCATTATATAATATGGTATCTGTTTTTTTTAGAAACAGCTCTGACATGTCATATGTTATTTTAAAAATTGACATGTATCATTTTTTCTTTTTTTATAATCTTTATTGAATTCTCTTTCATTAAGCAAATACAAATAAAGAAGGTTCAATGTTTTTTTTTTCTTTTCTGCAAACAATTCCTTTTCATCCAGTAAACATAAACAATATTGAAAACACTCAAACAATATTGTAAGATCATATATCACTTTTTTTTTTTTACTCTTTTTCTTTTAAACATTAGATTTTAAAAAAATGAATATTCTATTTTTTTTGAAGGAAAATTACCTTTTTCCAAAAAAGGGGGGAGAAGTCGGTTACACCGCCTCCTTGGAGATTGTGGTCTTTTCTGCTTTCTATCTTAAGATTTAGATTCTCTATTAGATTAGCATTTTCATTCTGACGACCTAACTCAACTTGTAACATCTTAGAGTTCCAATTAAAAATAAATAAGATTTACTTTTTTAAATTTCCAAACTCCTTATTATTTTCTTATGTAATATTGAGTTCTTACAGCACCAACACATGCCAAGGCCTGCTCTTTTCTCAACTAATCTATTCAATGTTTAGAGAAAAACTAATATTATATTTTGTACTCAAATGATAATATTATCGAATTTAAGATTTTGAATAAAGTTGTACGAACAACAACTTGATTTAGATTTAATTATCATTAATACATAATTATAATATTATGAAAATTTATATTTATTTGTTAATGAATATAATGTGATTTAATAACTAACAAAAATATAATTATTGAAAATATCAAATGTATCCAAATTGGTCAAATCTTATGTTTGCGGTAACATAATAAAGAAATACTATAAATTGTAATAACCATCAAAAGTTCAAATTATATAAAATAAAAACACATCATATTCAATTTTTCTCAAAACTTTCACAAATGATATTCTATTTATTTTGTAAATATAATAAATTTACTTAATTGTTAAAATATGTTTATTAGAAAGTTGATGATTTGTTTGACCAAAATATAAAAGTTGAAACCTTATTTATTAATTGTATTAAAAAGAAATAGTTACTGCTTGACTTCAGAGTTTGCTTATAGTCAACGAAAAAGAAAGTAGAAACCTAATATTTGACCCCCAACAAAAAAAAAAAACCAAATATAAATATAATTATAGACACACCCTTTCCGACAATTAACTCGTTCTCTTTCACTCTCTCTCAAGTTCTTAAACACCAAACTAAATTTTCATATCCATCAATCTTTTTTACAACAAATAATGGTTTTGGATTACGAACAGTACTTCTCTATGTTCTCCTTCAACCCAGTCTACAGCGATGACCAACACAATAACATGAACATTGTGTTCGATTTCCATTCGGTTTACAGAGTCCTTAATCCAAATTTAGTTTTTCATGTAGACGACTACATGGATCTTGATTATATCAACAATTGGGTAACACGAATCGAAGATATAAGTCATGAGTTCAATAGAGATTGGCTAATCGGTGGCGACAGGGATCAGATACAAGCCATTGTACATCAGATCCTCGAGATTCTCGACGTCCCCTTTCACCGGAGTATAGTTGATGGATTTACTGAAGGTATCTTGGATCTGAAGCAACGCGAGGCCATGTCTGATTCACCTAAGGTTTTTTTGTTTTTTTGTTTTTGTAACTAAAATGAGTTTGTTATCTAATTTATTTTATTTTAATGCAAATATCTCATTCCAAATTTTTTTGATTCACGTAAGGTTGCTAGGGTAAGAGTGGAGACTGATGTTTTCGTCCCGAGATTTCCCGGTGTTGATGTCAACGACGCGGATGTGAATCTTGCGGTGGCTCCGGCAAGTGATGAGGCGGTGGAGAATCACTTTGAAACGGTGGTTGTTGGGAATGATGAAGGCGTTTGTGTGATTTGTATGGATACGATCCGGGTCGAGTCGGGTGTGGCGGCGGCTCGAATGCCGTGTTCGCACGTGTTTCATCGCAACTGTGGAGAGGAGTGGCTTAGGAGCAGTGGGATTTGTCCGGTTTGTCGCGCCGTCTTCCCGCCGCTTTAGGCTATTATTTAAAAGTTGTGTTATTGAATATCCACCAGTCTTTCAATTTGATGTTGTTGTTTGCTTCAGTTTGAGTTGTTCTTAATTTGATGTTGTTGTTTGCTTCAGTTTGAGTTGTTCTTAATTTGATGTTGTTGTTTGCTTCAGTTTGAGTTGTTCTTAATTTGATGTTGTTGTTTCCTTCAGTTTTATCAATAAAATGCAATATAACTGAAAAACTGAAGTCACAAGTATTAACTGAGGACTTCGATGTCACAAGTGCTCTTATGAAACCTTGAAGGATAACTAAATCTTATGTCATTCTTATGAAATCTGAAGGATAAATAAAACATTTTTTTATGCTTAGCTTTCCATGGAAACACAGTAGTGAGGGAATCTCATATTGAAGATTATATGTTTTCTTGTCTATTTGAAAAGATAAAACAATGGGAGATTACTTGTCAAGTCAAAGTTATATAAGCTAACAAAGATTGTCAAGCCATCAATATCAGTACTACTCATCTTCTCCAATTTCAATGAGACTAGTTTATACACGTCTGGCTTCTTGTTGCCGCTTGGATAATGAACCGGTTTAGGAAATTTGGTTGTCAAATTTGGAATGGATATTTTGATTTTTTTGAATTTTGTTAAAGAAATTTAATATTACTTTTAACCTTTTTAAATGTTAAACTGATAATTCATGTACTTTTACATATCTGCTTTTTTGGTACTTTTATTCTATTCATTTGAATAAAATAAATGTTCTTGAATATTCAAATAAATGATCATAGGTAAGTATTTAAAAGATAAAATTAATCATATACACAATTGACCAGTTAATTAAATAAATTGCAATTAGCCTGAAAACTTTGTTGTGTACGTACAATGTTCTCAATTCGTCTCGGCAATATTATTTACAACCTTCCGATAATACTGTTTATCTAATTAATGTATTAAAATATTGTAAAAGTAATGAGTCAAAGCAATTATAATATAGTACAGTAAAACTTCTATAAATTAATAATGTTGGGAATTCAAAAATTTATTAATTTATAGAATTATTAATTAATCGATAAATTAATAATTATTAATTTATCGATAAATTAATAATTTATTAATTTATAGAGAGATATTTCTGTTCAAATTCAAAATATTTGTCAAAAAACAAAAAAATATTTTCAATAATGTAAAATTTATTTAGAAAATATCATATAATTGAATTTGAAAAATAAGTCAAACAATTTTTATAAACTTGAAACAACAATATAATTATATTTTACTATATTATATTATTCATATATTTTATATGTATAATTATTAATTTATCTAATTATTGGGACTATATTTTTACATAGAAGTTTCAAAAAAAATTATTATCTTATTATCTTATCGAAATTTTGCTAATTTTTACACTGACCCAACTTGGGACCGGCAAAAATTATTAATTTAAAGTGATTATTAATTTATCGAGTATTAATTTATAGAGGTTCTACTGTAACTAGATTTTGGATCCGCACACTTGCGGATGTTTCTTTTCATAAAATGTTTTTAGACCATACAGCTTGTATTATTAAATCCAAAATTGTGGCCCAAACAGAATCTTTTTATTAGATTATATTAACTATTTTTACATTATGATTTTATGTTTTTAAAATTATTTAGGCTTGATTTTAGTACAAAAAGATATTTTGATTAGCGGATTTTCTATTCAATTTTGAACTAATATTTTCAAAATATTATGCTTTATAATGCAATAGATATTTTATTTGTTTGTAATTAAGATTTTATTATTTACTTAGGTTTTTTTGTTTTTCCACCCAGATACTTATTTGGATGTAAATACTCAAATATTGTTCTTTTAAATATCTGGATATAAAATTTAGAATATCTCAAAATTTTAATATTTAAGATGCTAAAAAGATAGAGTTCGGATGCAGAATTTGAATCTCAAAAATTAAAAGACCAAAACACCTTTTAATTTAAACCACAAAATTAAGGTTTTTCTTTTGTCAAAACCATAAAATCAAAGTTTTTTATCAAAATAAAAAGCTGCATTTCTCTGCAAAATACTAAAATCACGTTGTTGTACCAAAATTGGAAATTCCTGTAGAAATTGTAAAAATAGCATTTTTCAACAAACATTATTTTCTGCCAAAATTGTAAACCCACATTTTTCAACAAAACCAAAAATTATTAAAATCATGTTGTTGTACCCAAAATCGGAAATTTCCGTAGAAACTGTAAAGATAGCATTTTTTCCATCAAACCATTTTTTCTTCCAAAACTGTAAATCCATATTTTTTAACAAAACCAAAATTTATGTTTTTCCCAACACCATAAAACCATACTCTATGGCTAAATTTCTAAAATTACGTATTTTTGTCAACTTGCAAAATTGCTTTTCTCATGAAACCCGCAAACCTGTATATTTAATAAAATCTATAAAACCGTATTTTTCCATCAAAACCTATAAACCCGTCAAAACATGTAAACCTCGTAAAATCTGCAAAACCACGTTTTCGGCCAAATCCACAAACACATATTTTTCATAAAATTGTAAAATCCGTAAAATCATGTTTTACGACCAAATTTATAAACTCATGTGTTTCCGCCAAACCTGCAAAATCGAGTTTCCAAACCCACAAACCCGCATTTTTTCGTATGACTATATTTTCCCACTAAAATCTGTAAAATCTATAAAATCCGCAAAATTGCGTTATTCGCATTCCGTAAACCCGAGTTTTCCTGTAAACCCCATAAAACCTGCAAAATCATGATTAACAATCAAAATCCTAAAATCATGTGTTTCTGCTAAATCTACAAAAGCACATTTCTTGTCAAACCAGTATTTTCTCGTAAAAGTATATTTTCTACTAAACTTATAAAATCCGCTAAAACTTGTAAAACCCGTAAAATCTATAAATTTATGTTTGTCAAATCTGCAAACTCATGATTTCCGGTAAAAAATTCATTAACAAACCAGAAAAATTTATTTACATAATATTTTTTTTTATAGTATGTATATATGTAACCAAAAAATAATGATTACATATTTACCATTGACTATAAATTGTCACATTTAATAAATATCATATTAGCTTTTAGACATTTTGAAGTAGTACTTTTCTTTTAATTATATAGATAAGAAATTGATTATAAAATAGTATATATTTAATTTATAATATAATATATATAATTATATTAGTTATCATGCCATATATATTTGTGGTAATTTTGTTAAGGTATTATGAAAGATTTTAAAGTAATTTCGAAATTAAATTAATTTGAATTTTATTAAAATCAAATATAATTTATTAATCTTATATGTTAACAAACTAATATAATATAATTTAATTTAATATATTTTAGTAGTTTAATAATATGACTAAATTACCCTTAATAAATTAATAAAATTGTCTAGTAAATGCAATGGTATATATTGTAAATACCATGACAGTTTTATTAATAATGATTCTCTTTTAATAGTTTAGATAAAATTGTTATGTTAGTATAATTATTATATTAAATAAATTTATTATATATATATTATTAGATAATTAACTTAACATAATTTGAAATTATATTATTAACCAGTAAAAGTCACTTCCGAGATTAACCAATCACTTACAAGAGACATTACTGCTAATGAATTTTTTGAGGCTGTTTGAGCTATTAATACTGAAAAAGTCTCTAATCCGGATACACTAACTGCTCGATTCTATAACAAATGTTGGAATATTATGGGTAATGATGTCTTTACAGAGATCCTAGGTTTCTTCGACACTGCACATATGAAAAGGAACTACAATATAAAATCTTCGATAACTCTCTCTAATTTTAAGTCTATCGCATTATGTAATATGTTCTACAAGATAATTTCTAAGATTCTCGTTATAAGACAAGTTTTTTTAAATATTGTTTTGGAATTCCAAGCTGCATTTGTCACCAGGTCGCATAATCTCTGACAATGTATTTGTTAGCCGATGAACTAATGCACTTATTGAAAAATCGTAAACATGTTTCTCAAACTTATATAGCAATTAAAACTGATATGACTAAGGCATACAATCGTGTATAATGAGATTTCTTGGAAATTATTATGTCCGCATTTAGCTTTTGTTCTAAGTGGATAAAATGGATTATGGCGACCGTTAGAATTAGAACCCATAAGGAAATTTTCTGCATGAACGAGGCTTGAGACAGGAGAATCCTCTTTCTCCTTATCTCTCTATTCTCTTTGCATGTTAGTTATGAGTCATCTCTTGTAGATATATGTTAAACAAAATCAATGGCATAAAAGTTGGAAACGGTGTTCCAAGCATCGCACATCTTCTTTTTGCCGGTAACTCTCTTTTTTTCTTCAAAGCAAATGTTAAAAAAATAATTCTGCAATTCCGGACGAGCAATGTTCATGCAAAAAAATAAATCAAGCTAAATCCATGGATCAACACAGGAACATTTAAAATCATGGAGGTGGTGAAAATAAAAGAGGAAATGTTTACTAACATTACAAACCGTCTTAAACAACCAACATCGACTATGAGTGCAAAGCTGTTATCTTAACCTAGTAAAATAGTATTTATGAAATCAGTGGCTATTTCAATGCCCGTTTATTCCATGTCATGTTTCAAACTACCAAAACATGTAACTTCAGAGTTAACAAGCACTTTGACACAATTTTGATGGGAAAAGAATGCTCAATTAAAAGGTATCCTCTAGGTTGCTTAGAAGCGATTACAATACTCTAAACATGAAAATGGCTTAAGCTTTAAGGACTTTGAGAATTTTAATGATGCTTTACTTGCTAAACAAGTTTGGTGACTTTTGAAATATCCTGATTGATTATTCTCAAGGCTATATGTAGCTTGTTCTTTTAAGGATGTGTGCATTATAAATCATACAGATTGTCCTCCATTCTATGCGGTATAGATCTAATTAAAAAAAGGCTCTCGCTCTATCATTGGAGATGGACGCCAAATAAGAGTTTACAA